AAGGGATTTGGATTGATGAGGGATATGTAGAACACACAAAAGAAAAAATAAAAAAAAGAAAAAATAAATGTTAACACTTGTAAGTTCTTTATTTAAATTTTCTTTTAATTGTAAAAATTTATTTTTAGTTAAATTTTTTTTTGTTGTTAAAAATTTACATTTTTCCTTTCAGGTATATGGCTACCCCACCTGAAAATAGTGGTGATGCTCCACCCACTGAAGAAGAAGCATTCAAGGAGGTTAAACGGGGTAAAACTGTTATGAAAGCAGTAATACGGGCTCGAGCAGCTGGTCGTAAATTACCAGTAAATTGGAATGATAGGGGCCAATTAGTTAAGTCTCCTCAGTTGGTCAGTTACATAGGGGTCTTAGCTCGTCATTATGTTCCCTGTTGCATTGCAGATTGGAGAAAGAAAAATGACCCACAGCTTGAAGAAGTAAAAAATAATATATGGGAAGATTTGTGTATATCTTTTGACCTGGATGAGAGTCATAGGCATTATATCATGAGAAAAGCAGCATATGCTCATAGAAAGTTTTGAGCTACCCTCACAACATGTCATCTAAAAGATGCAAATGAAGAATTCAATCCTCATCCTCCTAAAATGTATCCAGAGATCCAGCAAGAGCATTGGGATGAATTTATTAAAATGCGCCAACAGCCTGAATTTCAACAGATCAGCCAGGTCAATCGCTCTAGAGCCGCAAGTACTCCTTTTCAATATAGAGCAGGAAGAAAGAGCTATCCAAATATTGAACATAGTTTGGTGAGTTTCAATTAATATCGTCTGTTGATATTACTTATATATATATATATATAAGGAAATGTTTTTTAATTATTCTAATATCTTCTTTAAATAGAGGGAAGAAGTTGTACCTAATGCTCCAATTTCTCGAGCTCTTGTTTGGAAGACTGCTCGAGAAGATAAAGAAGGCAAATTACCTGATGAACGCACTCAAAAAGTCTGGGAGGATTGTATGAGTATTAATATTTTAGTGTATTACTTTATTTACATTATTTACTTAATAATTAGTTTACAATTTGTTCAACAGGAAGCATTATCATAATCAATATCACAAGATGATGTGGGGGAGCATGTGGATGTCCTTGGTAGGGCATTGGGAACTCCAGAGGTCTCTGGTTGTGTTAGAGGAGTTGGATTTGGCATTTCTCAGGGCACCTACTTTGGACATCGGTCTAAAATTTTTACTGAAGATGATTTTAATGCAAGGATGGCAGAAATGGAGGTGAGAATGGAAAAAAAATTTCAAGCTCAAATGGAAAAGAGATTTGAGCAAATGATTGGAGTTATAAATATGCCACAAGGTAGCCCCAGTGATAAAGATAGTTGCTCCTTCCATACTAAAGAAGACTTTCTTAAGGTTATAATTTTTCTTTCTATTATCTTCTCTTTATTCACAAATTATGTTTCACATTTTTTAAGATATTAATTTTTAATTTTTAGGGCGAGTCTCAATGTCAATTATGGTTAGAATCACCACATTGTCGTGTTGTGGCAATTGGATCTGTGTATAATGATAATAGTGTTACTATACACTCCAGACCGTTGCCTGCTGATCACTTAAAGGTGACTATAACTATTCCAATAGAAAATGATGCTGAGTTGCCAGTGCAAATAGAAGATGAGGATATATTCACGATTTTTGATGCTGTTGGAACTTATGTGGCTAGGCCTTTAAAGCTCATTAAGTTACAGGTATAATAATTGATGGTTCTTTAAAATCATTCATGTTTTCTTACGGCCTTATCAATCCATTTTACATCTTGTAGTCCTCAAAATTTAAAGAAGTTGTAAAAAAGCCAATCAAAGCGAAAGGAGAGCCATCGAAAGGATCTACCTCTGTGACTAAGGCAAGGAAGACCAGCACAGAATCTACTCAGTTGAAATATCCTCATCAAAATGCACTTGAAATGATTATGCGGACAACATTGAAAAATGAGATCTGTGAAGTAGAATTTGAAAAGGAGATTTATGATGAAATAATTAGCGAAAAATTAGCAGCTGAAAATATTAACGAGATTCTGACCAAGGATTGGCTACAAACAACATAAATTAGTTTATACATCAGGTGCTCTCTCAATTTTATTACTTATTGTGGTATTTATTTAATTTTAGTTGTGAATGATTCTATTTTTTTTTCATTTTAGGTACTTATATCATACTTTTGTGGTGCCGGGCTCATTGATAACAAAATTTTCATTTATTAGCCCGCACAACACTAGTACCTACAGTGTTGAGTACCATACTCAAAAGATTACTGATGCATTCAAAGTCAAAGGCAAAAGAAACATGTTATTTTTAGCTCCTCACAATCCAGGGTAAATTGTTATTATTGTTTATTTTTAACTTTAGTTGATATTTTAGTTAATGAACTATTTTATTTTTTCAAGCAACATTGGGTGCTTGTTTGTATCAATCCATTCGTCCTTGTGATTTATTATCTTGATTCATTAAGAGATAGTGACTTTAAGAACTACAAATCTATGAGTATATTATTTAATCAGTAAGTTTTTAGTTCTATATTCTTTATATATGTTTATTATAATAATTAATTTTTACTTGGTATGCTTAATCATTATATAATAGGGTTGTAGCACGTTATCGAGGAGGTGAAGGTCTCCCTCCAAACACTGAAAGACCTGATCCTGTTGAGTTTTATTCTTGGAAAAGAATAAAGGTTTGTATTATTTTCTTAATAAAACAAGTTGGTACATATCTAAATGATTATTTGATTGATATTTTATGTTTGTTATTCTGAATATGTTGTTCTGGATTGATGTAGAATTTTTGAAAAATTCTGGAACTTCCAAGTTATAGGGGAGACTCTGCCGGATTTTTGACAGCAAATACTTGTATCATATATATAATTTCATCACTGAAGTATTTTAAATTAAGTTAGAATTTATTTCTACCATATAAATGACATCTTTTATTGTTTTATAGGTACCTACACAATTACAAGGTTGGGAGTGTGGATACTATGTTATGAAATTTATGAGAAAAGTAATCACACAACAAGAGTTGATCATTCCTAAAAATGTAAGTCAAAAGCTTTGAAATTAAGTTAATATAATGTTAATTACTTATATATTGCTTTCATATCTTGTGTAGTATTTTGTTAGAGCAAGATATTCGCATTTTACTATGGAGCAAATAGAAGATTTAGTTGAAGAATGGTCAGAATATATTATTGGCTGTTTGTAATAGGAAGTTAGATTTCAATGTTAAAAAAATAACAATAGTTTCATTTGTTAGGCTTGTTAGAAATTAAACTAGGTTAGTTAAAAAATTGAAATTGTTGTATCAGTTTCAAATTTTTTTCTTGTATATAAAATTTTTATGTTGATATTATTTTTAAATTAGTTTTTGATATTATGATTTGTCATTATTAAAGATATTTAAAAGGAGAAATTTAAAAAATTTAATTTAAAAAAAATAAATATAATATACGGGAGCGCTCATTTGAAGAGCGCTCCTGTAAAGAAACTTATGGGAGCGCTCTTTTAAAGAGAGCTCTGGTAAGTTCATATACAGGAGCGCTCTTGTAGAAAGCGCTTCGGTAAGGTTACATACGGGAGCGCTCCTATAGAGAGCGCTCCGGTATGCATCATACAGCAGCACTCTTACATAAAGTGCTCCCGTACATGACGTGTACTCTAGCGCTATTACGGGAGCGCTTTTTTAAAAGCGCTCCTGTATCGCTTACATACAGGAGCGCTTAAAAAAAGCGCTCCTGTAAATTTCGGAGCGCTTGATACGGGAGCGCTTCAAAAGCGCTCCCTAAGGTAAAAAAAAAAAGCGTTCCTGTAAGCTTATTTTGTAGTAGTGAAATATTTATTTACATATCTTCAAACAAATTTATTTCTTATTTCCTTTAAAATATGTGTGATCACCATCCTAAAAAATCAACAATGATTTTGAAACTCTAAAAAAAATAAGAAAATTAATTTAAACTTCTCTATAATATTTAAATATATTAATTTAATTACATCCAGTCTAACCCTAGTCTGACTCCAATCAAACTATTGAACCGTAAAATACTGCCTTCACCAATTTAATAGCCGGTCTAGTTCTCATAACATTACATGTAATTAACGCAAAAATATTAAAGGGAGAATTGCAATGCATGCCCTAAAACTAGCACATTTGCATTAACGGCTTTTTGTAGGCCAAAAACCCCTTTTGCAATTAAATTTTTCAAAGGACAGAATTATTGACCTTTTGTTAAATACACAGCAAAATATCCAAAAATAATATTTAAAATTTATTTGCTAACAAAATAAATGTTCATCTATTTCACATATTCCACATGATTTATACTTTTTGAAGAAAAAAGGAGATTTACAAGTTACCCAAGTGATATTTATAACAAAATCTCTATGGATAATATTTAAAGTCCATTTATTAACAACAAAATATTTATTCAATTCATATGTCCACGTGGTTTATTTATACTTAATATAAACTCAATAAATAACATTCAAAATCTATTTATGTATAACAAAATATCCATTTATTTCACATAATCCACATTAGCTACACTTGTTTAAGGAAAAGAAATTCACAAAATGAAATTTACAACAAACCATTCGTAAATAACTGTCAAAGTTTATTTATTTTTAACATAAGGTCTGTTTATTTTATAAATGTGCAATTATGTCTTTTCACTCAAAATTTTAATCGCAAGAGATACCTTGAGCCTGTGGAATTATTTCAAATTCTATTGACGAATTCCGCAACTCAATTTATACATCATGATCTCGATTTGGATCCTTGTCTTGTGAGATTCATCTAGTAGATGGAGTATTGGAAAGGATATTTTTTTTAGTGAAAATTTCACAGAGAGACCTTCGCGAGTTAATATTAATTACTATGAAGGATCATAAAGTTTTTTATATATACATGAAGATCAACTAAACACTAAAACACCCAAAGTACACAAATTTAAACATTATTACATTAGTGATTAGTGTAAGATTATTGCAACCCTGTGGTAGAAACATAAGCAAAAAGTTCCTCGTCACGTTCAAATTTAGCCATGTCATCCCCCGTCAAGTTGACATATGCTTCAATGCCGCCGCCTGATTTGGTGTCTTTTAAACAGACCATATTCTTGAATTTCCACGTAGGTAGTAATGCCATCGTCGGATTCCCCCATCCGAAATCAACCTCGTACATCGGAAACCTACACAGTGACGTGACACTGAACAGCACCATCTCTCCCTTCTCAATTTCTCTAACCATTTCTTCGCTAATAGGGTTCCATTCTTCACTTTCTCGAATTTTCACAACAAAATCTTTGTCGATTTTGCTTAGCTCTCGTCCTAACAGTCTTCCAAGGTCATTACACTCTCCTTGTTCGTCTAACATTGGAAAGGTTTGAAGATACCAATAATAGTTTCCAAATGCATATTCCGGTAATGGCGGCTCCATTCTTGGGCGTAGATTCGCTGTCCATCCGACCAAGTGAATCTGTTTGCTTCCTTCTTTCTTAGTAGCTGCAACAAACCGTGTCCATAAGAAAGTTGATAATGCCACTACTCTTGTAGGTGGTTTTTGGCCTTCCAGAACGTTCTTGGAATATTTTGTTCGCAGAGATTCTATAACGGATGCTTCAAACACGAACCTTTTTCCCACGATTTTTTGCTTTCCGATGTATAGATTCGGGTCGAATCCCAACATGTCTTTTGGCGGGAAGAGTGAGGAAGATTGGAAGTGAATTCTGATTTGTTCTGCCGGTTCACCACGTGTCACGGCAGCCCAGTTCTTCATGAACTGTAAATCCGACATCGCGTCGGCGACCTTGTGGGAGATGCACACTCCGATGGCTATTCCGCCGCAGTCGAAGACATTGAACTGGACTCCGAGGACTGTGTCGACAACCTCATCCATGTCGTAGGGAAGCAGCTTGCAGACGTCATCAGTAGAGGAGCTGTCGGTGACGTGGCTGACGGAGAAGTTGATTCTGGTTTCTATGAAAGGGACACCCTCGTCGTTGCAATCTACGGTTAGGTTATCGTTGAGGAGTCTTCCAGCGAGTGGGCAGAAGAGAGATAAGACTTGAGATAATGATTTCTTGAGAAGATTGGAGGCTTCGTTGATGTTCAGTTTGTTTGCGACATCATCGGCATCGAAGAAATAGACCAGAGAACCGTTGATTTGGGCAGTTATCTGGTCGATGAAGGAGAGATTGTAGTGACGAAGATGGTGAGGTGTAGGAGACGAAGGTTTCACCATTTCTGTAGAGATTACTTCCACGTCTAGCTTCATTTTCTTGGTGCTTTCCCTTTTAGCATATTTTAATTTCTTCTAATTTGTTGTCCCAGTATTTCATATTTCATATTATGTCACCGGTATTTACACTTATATAGATAAATCCGATCGGTGGACGAGGATGCCATCGTGGATCAATATATCAAGAAAATCAAGAATAGGATTCTCTTGCTGATTTATTACCAAATGTCACTTCACTTTTGTCCTCTTCTTATTGACATCTCCCAGTTATTGAATCATGTATATATATGTCATCAAGATCACATAATAGGATTCTCTTGCTGATTTCCCTCCCGGTTGCATATAAAATATGGAATTACATATGGTAAACATAATAATTAAATGAAGAAGTCCAAAAGAATTAAGCCATTAATGGATTTTAAAGTATCAGGAGGAAAAGTGTAGGAGAGAGAGAACAGAAGAGAAACTGTTTCCCGAGATCACTTGTTAATGCTTAATACGCCCACAATGGCTATTAAAAAAATGAATCGTTTACTTAAACATAACTGATCTTATTTATAGGATAAAGGAAGAGGATATTTTTGGTTTAATTTTTAGTCACCTCAATAATTATCATATCCATCTTTATTATTTTGCCCTTATTTAATGTTGGAAATATTACTAAATGCTAAAATATTTTATTTTTAAAATGTATATAATTAATAGGGGTAAAATTAAAAATGTTTTGAATTTTCAAATAGAGTTAGTGAGATTTAAAATTTTATTTGATTGTAATAAAAATGATAGAAGTGATTTATAAATAGAATCAAAGTAAATATCAATTTAGATAATTATAAACAAGAATCTCATGCTTACAATCAAAGAGTTACATTTTTTCAATTTTTTTATTAATTTTATATTTTGGAACTTAAATGACAATATAACTCAATGTTTTGACACCTAATTATATTTTTCTAAAGAAAAGCCATCTGACGAGGTTCTTTGTTTGCGTGACTGTATGTTCAATTAGCAAAATTATACCTGTAGCCACAACCCATATGTGTGTGAGCGCGTGGGCGTGCGCGTGCGTGCGTGTCTCAGTGTGTGTGTGTGTGTGTGTGTTTGCGTGAAGGAGGTTTCTTATTAGAGTGAAAAAATTGTAATGACTTATGTAATTAATTCCTAATTAACTCCAGTAACTGACAACCTAAAATGAAAGGATCAATCATGATTTTAAAGTTAACAAAATATATAAAGATCAAACTTGAAATTTGAATCCCATATATATATACACACAGACTCAAAGAGAAAAAAAATATTTTTCAGAAGTAAGAGTGATCGAAAATATGTGAAGACATGATATGTACAACTTAGCATTGTTAGAGGAACATTGAAGGACAAAATAGTCAATTTGAAAACTTGTACAAACTCGCCGCAGCTAAGAGTAGCCTTGCCACAACCAACTGTTAATTGACACACTTGCTATAGCTAGAGGCATGTTTGCCATGGCGCAAGTCATCATGACCCACTTGTCATAGTCGGCAGCTCTATTTACCCTAGCCAACATGCACCAAGCACTCACCATGGTCACAACTATTGTCCGCCACTGCATGCATTAGCAGCATGGTGAACAGCATGCACAAAGTAATTTCAACCTTATTTAGAGTGTGTTTGGATTAAAAAAATTTATAACTGAGGTTAGATTCAACTGAGATTAACAAACTGAGGTTAGAAAAAAGTTTGTAACTTTAACGTGATTTATGTTTGGATATTTTTTTTTAGAAGTTAGTCAGACAAACTAAAACTTGTTTAGATAATTTGATTCAAAAGTCAGTTAAAGTGTATAATAATAAAAATAAATACTATTTTTCTTGTATATATTTTTATAACTAATCTTTGATGTTTTTAAAGAGTAGATTGCAAATATAAAAACATGTAATAGAATGTTTTTTACATAATTTGATTTAAAAGCTATTTTAGATATTGTATAATGAAAAATTATATAAAAATGGATTTGCGTAAATTTGAAATTTAAAAAAATATTAAAGTAATTTCGTTTACCTGATGCTATTGAAATGAATGTAAAATCTAATTAGTCTTAATAAAAATTGTATAATTTATAAATTATATCATAATAAGCCTCTATAATAAATTTATACTTTATAGGTATTCAAACTTCTTCTGCCTTAATTTTTTATCATGATGTAGTCTATTATTTTTTAAATATACACATACATTGAGATATGCTCAACAGTTTTCTCATTAGGAAACCACAATATTTCATTTTCAAATTTCATATTATTCTAGGCTGCAAATAAAGATCATTATCCTATTATTCCATTCCTCCAATCCAGCCACCTTTTGTCCAATTTTTATGAATCTCTCATTCTCTTCAAAGAATACAAGCTGATCATCTGTATGAATATGATCTCTTTCCTTCAGCTTCATCATCATCACGTCTTCTTCTTCTTTGACCTCAATTATTTTAGCCTTTCTGACGGCATGATCAAATTGCTCAATGCTCTTTAATGTCTTATTATCATCATTATTATCATGATCTGCACTTTGTCCCCAACCTTAATGCTTGCAAAGTAAAAGCCCAAGAATAACAACATTATTCCAATGACCAAAACATATAGAATCGAGAAATTGTCTCTTTCATCATTATTATATTGAGAAATATTGCTGGTAACAGGAGGATCCACCATTGATTGCATTATAGCTTCTTCATTCAACGAATCAGTAAAGAAGTGACTTAAGTTCATCTTTCCTGAAAGTTATTGTTTGAGATGTCCAATTTTCTCAAAAACTTCAGTTTCGTTAAGCCTTTGGATATTCTCCCATTCAAATGATTGCTTGAGAGATTCAGATAACACAAGCTAGCACAGTGCAGAATTGAGTTTGGAACATTGCCTCTGATATTATTCAGCTGAGCTCAAAATCCTAAGCTTCTTAAGCCTGCACAGAGATTCTGCATCGATTGTTCCAGTGAGATTCAGGCTCTCTAGCCTGATCTATGCAATGTTGGTACCTTCAGAGTTGCATCTAACACCCTTTAGCTTCGTCATGCAGGGATGTGAAGTTCTCGCAGATGAAGATGATGACCCATTAATGTGAAGAACATTCTAGGGTCAATGGCTCCAATGAAACTGAAGAAAGGCTCAGATTCTAAAAACCTACCTTGTGCTTGGCCAGACACCATGATGAAGACATGAGGAAGGAGGAGGAGGAGGAGAACAAAGAACAAGTTTTTGCTGGTTAAGAACATAGTGAAAGTGAAGGACGATGTTGTCGGGGATTGCATGATTTTGGTCTGGTTTTTTGACAGCAAATGGAACGAAAAATTCGTGAAGATAAGCTATACCTCGGATTGATCAGAGAGTACGTCGCGTGGTCGGTTCTTAATTATGGAAAGAGGATAAGATATTGTACTGTGCGGAGGAGAGAACAGAAGAGGGAAAGAATGTCGATGTTCTATAGCCGCACAGCTGAAGCAGATGATGCCATTTTTCCAAAGATTCTCTACTTTCAAGATTGTTGCATGGGTGAGTGGTATGAAGCCATTAATACCCACCTTACCCTCAAACGAATACCGACTTAAGAAGACGGTAAGCAAGCACTATAGAAGCCGACGTAAGAAGACAGTAGGCGAGCAGATGCAAGAAGAAAGAAGGGACGATGGCCAGCAAACTCAGGCACCGTAAGCGAGCAACACACAGTCGACGGAAGATCGAACGGCTACAATGACAGCGAACACAATCTCCGGTCAGATCTGCAAAGATGAGAAGGTGGTGAAGAGCTCATTGAAGACTCGTGAATGCTAAAGGCAGAGCAAATTCGGGCATTGGTAGAGATTGAAGAGAGAGAATACTGATAAAACATTACCCAATGTCCGCCAACGCTCGTTGCAAAGCTCCATTCAGCAGCTTCTATCCCAACGCTCGTTTCCCTCCCAACACCCGTTCATCTTTTTTTTAATCCAAACAAAATTTTGATCGCATTTACCATCTCAACTTAGGTTGGAGCCATCCCAACCTAAGTTATAATGTAATCCAAACACACACTTAATTAATCACTCGTGTAATATTCTGATTTTTATTAAGACTTAAAAAGCATTAGAATGAGATTATTTCATGGTGAATGGAATTGACCATGTAATTGAGTAAAGATAATTTACTTAAAAAGAAGTTAAATGTTAAGGACTTAATTCCAAGACATAAATTTTTATTGAAAAATGAGAAAATTAATAAAATTAGGTAAGACTAAATAAAAGCATTTAAAATATTGTTTCATTTTATCATATATTATAATAATTTAATTATAAAAAATTTATTTAAAAAAAAATATATACTCATATCAGCCTTTTATATTCTCAAAGTTACAAATAAATAAATAAATAAAAGAAGAACAAAGAAAGTAATGACAAGAGGTAAAATAAATATGTTGTAAACAAACATTGAAAAAGATATATCAAAACCAACGTGGGCCAAGGCCCACAATTGCTTTGAGGATATTAAAAACACCCTTCGAATGCAAGGGCAGAAAGGAGATAAGACTTCTTCGTTCACGCGGCGCCAATACACTGACAGGGAGAAATGGGGGGATTAAATTTGAGAGAACGAGATAGCATGGGACCTTTATTTGGGTATAGAGCTGGAAAACCGGCGGATTAAGCTCATAACTATAAGGGCATGAGTTCTTAAATTTGGTTTTTTATTTTTCACTCCTTTTATGAAACCTGATTCTTATTTAAAGGACTTAAAATTGGGCCTACAAGTGTTGTTCTGAAAAATTTTAAAAAATAAAATAAAATTAAGCACAACAAATTAATTAAAATATTTTAAAATTAAAAAAATTAAAATTTTCATAATCTTTTAGAAATTAAACAACACACATATAGTAGTCTAATAATAAAATTAAAATCTTGATTAAAAATAGTTTATTTTTATAAATACACAAATATAATAATTACAGAAAAATAAAAAAATATTAGAAATTTTATATTATACATTGATATTTATTAA